CAGGGGCGGACTGGCCCTAAAATTTTTGTGTGGAAAATTTATTACCAGCCCAGCCCACAAATAAAAAAAAAATGTATTTTTTTCTATTTATATTTAAATATATTCAAAATACAACATTAACAAAAATTACAATAATCGCAAGTCTATACTCTACAATATTAATTTTTTATTTAGAAGTTTGCTTTGTTGAGCAATAATATTAATGACATCATCAGAATGTATTTCCTTTAAAAAATCCTTCTCCACTGACATTAACAGGAAGGCTTCTAGATTTTCTTGCGAGATACTTATAAGTATCTCAGTGGCGTACCGTGGGTGTCAGCCGCCCGGGGCGGAAGAAAATTTCGCCCCCCTTATTTAGGTATCTCAATTTAAAAGACTAAAATTCATAGTGCAGCGACCTGTTTAAAATAGCTCTATTGGATATTAGTGATGTATATGAACGTGAATGAATCGTACAAGCAAAAGAAAAAAAAAGGTCAACAGATTACGCAGGATTTCCTCAGATGAAAAAATTACTAGTTCACCCTGACAGCGAGCCGATTCCCGGACTGTCCGGGAGATAGCACTATCGTAGGCGCAACGCAAATATAGATTGGGATGGTTCAAATTTTTACAAGATATTATTATTATTTATTGTGAAATTTTGCTGCCCCCTAAAAAGTGCCGCCCCCACTACACCACTGAAGTATCTTAGCCTGCTTTTAATTAATTTTAACATAGAAAAGCTTTGTTCACCGGACATTTGTGTTACAGACATAGATAGCAGATATTTGTATGCTTGATCAACTATAGAATAAGCGCCACCTAACATGTTATACCTGAATAATATACTATAACAACAAATAGAGCAGTTTTTGCAAGCAATGCAGTAAGAGGATAAAATCGCATCTTTATTAGTTTCTACTTGATCATCAGTAGAGTTTAATTTTATAAAAGTTTTATTGACATTTTCCTTTAAAATATTCCATGACGATTTAAAATGTTGCAATTCTGAAATAATAAAGGAGAAGGTGGTATTATGGAACCCCAATTACATTTTAGTGAATTGTAAACAAGGTATCATAACTACACCCACATTTTTTGTGCGAAAAGTACTGGTAACTAGTAAACTAAATGTTCCTAATTGGATTTTTCGCTAGTGTAATTATAAGTATGGTTTTTGAAGGGTTTTGTACAAAAAGTCCGAAAGTAGGCTTAAGAGAAAATCGGGTTGTAATATGGAACCTTACTGTATATTTTCAAAAAAATGTTTTAATGTAGCCAAAAAAAATAGGAAAGGACAAAAAATGATAAATAATTACCAAATTATTTACTCCAATGTATTTTATCGCAAAAATGCTTTTATAATAGAAAAATATAACCTCCATCAACAATATATATATTCCAGCAGCTCTTTTTCGATATTCTTGGAAAGAATTTACTTTCTACCTAGTGTCTTTTTCACAAATTGCTCTGGAGGAATAACTGCTTGCAAATAGAAAGTTCGGAGGAGTTGAGTTCCATATTACTGTAAAAGCACCAATGGGGTCCGTATTTCACGCATCGCCATCT